CCCAAGTGGAGCAATGGCTTGATCCTAGTGCTCTCTCTAAGGAGCTGCAGTTTTGCAACGTGCTTGCTTCTGAGCGAAGGAACTCAGTCCCTGAAAATGCAGTTCCTGAAAATGCCCTTCCGCGTTAACTCTTAATCAAAGGAAGGTCAGGAGAACGGATATCAAAACAGGCAGGAAACAGACGAGACCAATGCTAAAACTGCCTGAAAGCAGGGGAGACTTTGGCAGACTTTGGGGTCACTGGTTATGCTGGCACCCAAAAAAAAAGAGAAAGACAGGAAATGAGCACTCCTAGGAGACAAAGTCCAGGGGCTGTCTGGGGAGGCCAAGCCTGATTGTCTCGATCAACGGGTGCCAATAGGCCACGTCCTGATTTATTTATTTAGTAGCTTGGCTTATAATAATGAGGACTTGCATTTGACATTTTCTGAACCAGGTACCAAGTGTCACAAACCAGCCCTGAGGCTCCTGCTAGGTTCGCCCAATGTCCTGCTTCATAGAAACTGTGCCGTTGGGCACCCAGATTAACCCCTGCCTTACATTCAAGAAATTGCTTGGATTCCTTCATACTCTCCCTCTCCCTCTCCCCACCCCAACTCTGCTCTGGGTATCCAAGCCACCTCCTATGTGCTTCATAAAAGCCTGCATACTAAATGGCTGCCTGTCATGTTTACCCTTGAATAACACTGCAGCTTGCCTCAGAAATGTGGCAAAGTGGTCAAAACAAGGGGAGGGGAGGGGGAAACAGGGCATCCCATAATTGGCTTCAGTTGCCCACAACCACGTCTCTTGTGGCACCTGTGTGTCACTTTCTCCAAATCATCTCGCTTTCCTTCACCAGCACCTCCCCAGGTCCAAGAAGAACTTTTCCTTTTTTTAATCTACACTGATCTCGCTTCTGATGCTTCCATGCCCCACTCACCATTTTTCAGAGTTGGCTTTCAGTTCAGCGCAGGGGGGCTCCTCTGCGGGAGCATCAGAAGCGCCTTGTCCTTTTGCAGGGACTTCTCTTTGGCTGGGACTCTGTGACATGCTGCAGCTCCTGGCTGTGTGTGCTTGTATCTGCCCTGATCAAGGGGAGCGAGGAGCATTCTGGCTGGAGACAGCCCTGCCCACCGGTCATGCGGGAGGGGTAGACAGATAGGCTGGGTGGGTGGATCTTGGGTATTTGAGATATGCCTCAACAGCCTGCACTGCCTGGTTTAATTTGCAGAGCTCAGTTGGGAGAGGCACCATCTCTCCCGCTTGAGGATGGATCTGCGGTAAGCGAGGGAGCGGTGGATGGGGGCCCTGGCCTGGAAGTGGCCTCAGGTCAGATCCAAGGAGATCAGCCCCTGCAAGCAGGAACAAGGGCTTGGAGGGCGAGAAAGTGACCAGCAGATGCCTCCTTGGAGTTCTCGTGCTCTGTGCAAGTTCAGAATAATCAGAAAGGGTGAAGCTGCATGAGAATGATGGAGGAATGCCAGGCTCACCAGCCGTGACCCCAAAGGGAACTGATATTAGTCAGCGGGTTGGGTTCAGTTAGTGACTGAGTTTATGGCTCTTGGGATATGTGCACACAGTACCCTGGGGAATACGTGTGGGGCAGTGTGCAATAACACGATGCCTGCGGCCCATGTTGTTTCTTCTTCCATCTGGTGAGGTAAGGTGGAGAATTTGGGAGCAGTTGGAACCATACATTTACCTAGAGAGGAAGAGGGGGTTGGAGTGCCATCCTGCCCTGCTGTCTTATTCCAGCTGTATACAGAGATTGGCAGGCCGAGATTATTCCATAGTGAAGTAGTGCCACTCTGCACACGCTCAGACGGTTTGAGAAACAGACTTCCAGCTTCAATACGCAGCACAGAAAGCAGGGAGCTTAGATTAGGCACCAGGACCACGGGCTGCCTCAGGGAGAGTATGCTAGTGTGATTTTCCATAAACTTTTCATGTGCCTCAGATTTCCAATTGAATCCTGAAAGTTAGATTGCTTTTGTGTGAGTGTTGCTAAGATAATGGAAAAAAGAGAGGAGAATGTGGAAGGATGAGGCATGTTGGTGCATGGTGGTGATACATTTTTAACTTTGACATGGAGAGGTGGCATCGTGCTTGCCTACTGTGCATAAGAAATAGTCCTTTGGCTAGTGGAGTTGACCAAAACAGCCAAGAACGATTGTCATCATGGTTACTAAGGTCAATGAGAAAAAAAGTGCATAAGTTTGTTTTGTGGGTTTGTTAGTTGTATAGCTCACCTTTCACTCAGGAGCTCGAGGTAGCATGCATAGCACTCTCTTCTCCTTTTCCCTCCACAACAACCCTGTAAGGGAGGTTGGGCAGAGAGTCAGCGATGAGCCCAAGGTCACCCAGTGACCTTCAGTCCCGTTGCTTTCCCACATATGGCTTGTGGCCAGAGCAATCTTTTGGACATGTAGGGGTGGGACGGTGCCTCTCGGTAGAGATAAGCAGGTTTGTGTTCATAGCTTAACCATGGTGCCTTTGGGTATGTAATGGATTTTTAAAATTGTTTAAATAAGAGGCTTGACCAACAATTTATGCCAGCTAACTGGCAGCACAGCACAGTTCTCTGTGTGGCTACTCAGTATTAAGACGACTGAATTCAATAAACTGACTCCCTGGTACATGTGCAGAAAACGGTGCTTTCAGGAAATGGTCCAGGGTTAAATGGTGCACATGCAGCCACAGAGCAAATACTGCTAATGTAAATATTCAATTTAATTCAAATATATTTAAATTAGAACCAAAGTTCTGCACAACTTTGCCCTAAAGCTGAGCAAAATATAAACATTCAATGGCATCCAAAGAGCATCAACATGAAAAGCAAAGCAAAGACTTAGGAAACGTATTTTTTGAACTGTGTTTGATCTGACATTATCCATGGTTTAGAAGAATGCTAGCTTACTTTTGGTCACTGTAAAAATAAATAAATAAAAAGGTTTAAAGAATGAAAGAGAAAAGACAAGCAGAAACAGGAAAGTGCAGATCTGTAAGATCAACATCAGCAGACAACTGTAATTCACTACAAGCTCATGTGTTACATAAAAGCGCCATGTTTTCATTGCCCTTTTGACTCCTGGCCCTCAGGGTGAAATTCCTGTTTCATAAAGAGAACCGGTGAGCTTTTAAATATGGGTCTATGCTGACCTCTGGTGGTCAGAGAACTAAAATGTAATATTTTAGCCATCCTAAAAAATATTTAGTTGAGTATTCAGTCAAGCTTAAGTCTGACTTCTGGTCAAATTGGGAGGAAAATGATTGCCTTCTTAAAACAAAGATTCGGGGTGGAGGGGGATATGAATATGTTCAAAATACAAAGAATACAAATACTTTGAGGGGTGCTGCAGTTGTCAAAATATCAGACTAGGGATATTAATTCCAGTTGTGGTAGCAATTGTGGAATCAGGGGCTGGATTCACACAATGCACCTTAAACTCAGGTTAACAAAACACAGACGAGGGCATGATGAAGCCTTTCTCCTGGCTGTGTTGAAGGTGACTGATGGTTTGTAATGTTTTTCTGGCTGCTGTATGTTTTTATACACACACACACACACACACATTTTTAATATTGTTAGCCACCTAGAGTCATATACTTGAGGTGGGTGGCCATATAAGTCTACTAAATTTATTTATTTATTAGATTTATGAGATTGGCTGGGCTGAGAGAGAATAAGTGGCCAAAGTTATGCTCAGGGACTATAAACCATATTATGGCTTAAGCTGATGGCTTGGTTTGTACAACATGCTGAGGCAATGAATAGGATCCCCCTAAAGCTGAATCGTAAACTAACTGACCTCTCCGTAGCTCAGTCTACCATTTTGTGTGCATCCAACCGTAGAGTTGAAAGAAGCCATTAAGAAGCCACCCTCCAAACTGTAAACCATTTTCTGAACATCTTTAATGTTACTTTCTACAGAACAGTATTTCACTGGAAATGAAAGAGACTTCAAAAGTAAGATCAACCATTGGAACAGGAGGAGAAGATAAAGACTAGAAAATGCAAGTTGTACACAAAAAAGAGAACAGCTACTTTTTGTAGGGATTTTGATCCCAAACATTGGTCATAGGCATTAGGTATTATTAATTCCATTACTATCTTCTTCCAGTGAAGTATATTCAGGATGTCAGCCTCAAGGACGAAGACTTAGCGGCTGCATTCATATAGCATGCTGAACTGAATTTTAATTAAGGCTAATGTGTTGAACAAACCCACTCATTTGATAAATTCAATGTAGTGAGAGAATCCATGAAATACAGTGGTACCTCGGTTCACGAACTTAATTCATTCCACGATTCTGGTTGCGAACCGAATTGATCGCGAACCGAATCAAATTTCCCCATATGGTTCAATGTAAATAAGGTTAATCCATTCTGACCCCTACGAATATGGTCGCCAATCGATTTTGGCCGCCAACCGAGTCAAATTTCCCCATAAGGTTCAATGTAAATAAAGTTAATCCGTTCTGAACCATATGTATTTTTTTTTAAGCTACAAAAATATGAAACAATGTACAGTACAGTACAGTATGAAGAGAGAGAACACTAATCTTGCTCGAGGCGACTTCTGGCGTGGAGGACAGGAAGGC